GTGTTTCTTAATTGTGTGAAGCGAAGAGGATAAAAACTAGGACTTAAGTAACTCATGCATTTAAACTGACTTTCTCTTCACCCATCTATTTGTAGCGTAATAAAATTGAGATATGTAAAGAAACAACAACAACAAAAAACACTGATGGGTCAGCAAACACATCTGACTGGGGCGGTTGATTTGGAAAATGCTATCTTAAATATTTTACCTCGTGCAAAACTCGAAACAGTGGGTTTTGTTCATTATATCGAGTTTTTTTTGTCTTCCGGTCGAAGGACTCATTACACAGCGGTAAAACCAAAATGGAGGAACCAGTAAGACTGAGAGCCCCTGCCCCCCAAGAAACTACACTGTATCGAACTGTGACAATCGGAGAGCTCGGAAGCTCGAAATGTATTAAGATTTGTACATCTATACGATTTACTATGTTTGTAAAGTATTTTATTTAACTAATACATGATTTTTTAGGGGTAATCCATTTCCATAGGGTACTCCATGGAGTAGGGCTCCGCGTTTTGTCATCTCCTGTAAAATAATAAACACTGAAATGGAAAAAGCTGGGAATGGACCCATTTAAAACAAAATTTAGCCTCGACAAACTATGATTCTTTTTCCTTCGTCTTCTGTAAAACAAACTTTTCCATCCAGCGGAAAGGGACGAGGATCTCTTGTAACAGTTGCATACAGCTGAATTTTCGATGGCAGGATAAAAATCAGTATTCCAAATATAACTCCCATGACTGTCATTAACTAATAAGATTAATTATTTATTAATATTTATTAATATTTATTAATTATTTTTGTCTGCAGTTGGCCACACTTTAGCTTTAATCGGGTTTCAGACAATCCGGTCTTAGAGAAAAATAGGAAGCACAAAGTCCATGAAGATTAATTGGTTAGCGTCTTTCAATACCGGTTTTGAAGATAAAGACCTGTCAGTAGCAATACTACTTTTAGTAATAACGGGCCCCCATTTGCTATATCAGGAATTCCTTGTTTGTTTGTTTGCTTTTTTCAATGTAAGGGTGAAAAGCCAACAGCGATCAATTGTGCTGACTATGTCATCGTTTGGCGCACGTTTCTTTTTTTTTTTTTTTTTTTTCGGTCTACTTACTGTATCATCACCAAGTGTAAGGCCCGGTTCAAACGTCGAACTTTACATGTGCCGAACTGAATGTGAGAGTTATTGAATAATAGTTTGTTTATTTAACCTCTGACAATAATTTTCATCCCAGCGAAGAAACTTCCCGAGGGAAAAGTCCCTTAAATTACTGGAAAAAAAAATTGCTTTTCCTTCCCCCATAGAAATATCTATCTCTGCTGATTTCATTAGCCAAGAGAAAAATTTCTAGAAGCAATTTCTTATTTTGTATTTTGTATTTAAAGATTTATACAGTACGTGTGCAGGCGAGAGAACAATAGGACACGTAGTCCCCTACTAGGTTCACCCGCCTGAACCAATCCCAACCCACCCATCCCAGGGGGGGACATTTTGCGTCATTATGATTATGTGTGACTTATGATTTCCAAAATCATACTAGAAGTGCTTGTGCATTCTTTTTTCTTTTTATGCGAAATCGCAGCAAGAAAATGTGTTAGGAAATGAAATGCTTCAAAATATGTTGCATATAAGACATATTAAGGTATTTTCATTTCGACCACTGGCAACACCGTTGACCTAAGCGCGTTGTGTCCTCACGAGAGCCATCTCTGGTTTTCCATTCACTCCCTGGAAAACTGCTTTTCTTTCTCCGAACTAGATATTATTTTTATTCTTTAATTCGTGAGCAAAATAGGTCGGAGATTTTATCTCTTGTAAGTAAGAGGGAACTTAGCAGACACGACGGCAACGCCGCGGAAGACGTCGATTAAAATATGAGTTTCTACTTTTAGTTAGAATTTCCAAAATGGCTGCATGTATTCACCGTCTCATTGGGCGCCAGACCTCAAACTCAACATAACGCATAAAAGTAGCGTTGAGTTCCAAATGTAAATTAAAATAATTTGCCCCGCGGTTTTGGTTCGCAGACGACGCAAATTTTTGGGATTTCATGTTGCTGTTTTGCAAAGGACGGCCAAGAAATGTACAAAGTTTGAAAACGCACGTGCTGAGCTATTGTTCTGCCAATTAGATCTATTGTTTTTCCACGTTCTCGTTGCCGTCGCCGTCGTGGTTTGCTTAAAAATAATTAGGTAGCGCTTTGGACAATTATTGGATTTTAGCGCTATATAAATAAAATTATTATTATTATTATTATTATTATTAAATTCCCTAATGATTAATGAGACCAGGCCGGGAACTATGGGTATCCATCCCCGTCAAAATTCAATTTGACTCAAAATTTGACTTTGATTTGACTCAAAATCTTCAATTAATTTAAATTAAACATATCTTTCCTTACGTAACATGATTATAATTAGAATCTCGTGGTCCATTACCATCCTTAAACCACGGTCTAAGTTTTATTTCGATTAAATGATGGGCCCTAAGTAAGTCACGCCGCGCCAAACGTAACTCACGAAAAAGACCGAGAGAGGCCTGAGACACATTCTCGTACCCAGACCAAACGGACGCTGAGTTTGAATGTTCAAAGTTTGAATGTCGAAAGTGAATGTCAAACTTTCAACGTCGAGAGTGAATGTTCAAAGTACTGATTGAATATCAATATTACCGANGGCTGGGTTGCACGAAAAATATATCTGGCATGGTATAATTTGAAGTGACGAATTGAATGTTTAAAGTGACGAATTGAATGTTTGAAATGACGAATTGAATGTTTGAAGTGACGAATTGAATGTTTGAACAACAAGTTTGAATTTTGGCGGGGATGGATACCCAAAGTATGGGAACTTCCCTTTATCTGTCAGCAAAGCCTGCTCAGCGCATGAGCCAACGAGATGTCTATAAACCTGTCGTCAACTGACGACGGTGAAGACTCGAAGGGAAGCGAACATGGTTTTCAGAAAGTTACGACGAGGACTCTGTGTTTTAGTGCCTATCTACGTGTGCCTGGTGTTCATTGGATTTTTCTCATTCATATGGTCACGCTCTAGAAACCCCCAAACGCAAACACCAATTGCAATTGTGCCCGTGATCGTTTACACGGAGCCAATTTCTTTCGGTAATACTTCGTTCAATTCATCCAAAATGTCTGGAGTGTTAAACTTGCACATATGGAATGATTTATGTGGGAATAGCGTCGATATTCTTCGCGAAACGCCTCTCTTTCCTCGCTATCCTCACGAACGACTATTAATCGAGAGTTTTCAAACTGTGCGGAATGTAGATGCTTATGCGCAAAGAATTTTTGGTTTCATCGAACCTAAGGTTTCGGGCTTATACACTTTTGCAATTTCATCCGATGATACTTCGGAGCTGTGGCTTAGTTTGGACCAAAATCCACGCAATCTTCGCTTGATAGCAAGTGTTTTTTCTCCTACACAAAGCGCTTGGACAGGGGAAAGCGATTTCTCCAAATATGCCAATCAACAGTCTCGAAACATTCGCCTTGAGGCGAATCGAAGATATTTCGTGGAAGCACTTCATAAACAAGGTAACGGTGATGGCAGGATTCAAGTTAACTGGAGAAAACCGGGGTCTATAAAACTCGAAGCTATAACAGGAGAATATCTGAGTGGGTATTTGGACGAAAAAAAGAGAAACGAAAGCTTCCGTGACTTCAATAATATTAAGGGCCAAGACCACGAGGAACTTCAGTGGAGTCCAAGTCACGTTAAGCAAAGAATTTTTAAAGGGTTGGATCTAAAGAGCCAGTTTAATTACACGTCCGTTCCTTTCATTAATCGCAGTGAGGTCAAAGGAGTTTTAAAGTCGTGTTCTTACAAACCGAGTTACATTATCGAAAGAAACCTTTCTCGTTACGAAGGTGTTAACTTGGTGCACGATTCGTTGATATACCCGGTCGATAACACCTTTCTTCATCAAGCGCGAGTGCCGTGGTCGGCGGGAAATAAAATAGTTAATAATGTAACTGTTGGCAAAATTGTTGGGAAATTTATGAACAGTTTACGAAAGTTTCATCGGTAAGTGTGATCGATGGCTGGCTAAACTTCAGAATACCCGGCCAGTTATTTACGTGTCATTAAATAAGAATAGCGTCTAAACGGGTATTCTGAAGTTGCTCCCGATGGCTTGGTTGGGATGCGTTTGCATTTCTCGCTTCGATTTCATATTCTTTGTTGCTCTTGTTGACTCGTTTAAAACAACGAGGGCCTCCTAAGAGGCGTAAATTACGGTTTTTAAAACGTAAATAGAAATGATTGGAGTTAGAAGAAGAATTACATCCACATTTGGAGGAGGGAAAGTGCGAACAATATGAAAACTTCTTTCATGCCAGACCGTATTGGAGGTATGAACGGTAATCGAATCTTGCGGGTTAATTACACCAGTACAAAAGAAATGTCACTGAAGTTATTCATATGGAAATTTTGCGGTCGCCTTTAAAGTAGATTTGATTCCAATGATGCAAATTATCGTAGGCCAATTTTTCTATTCAGCTTTAAAAAAATTCAGGCGTGAAATTTGTTTTTGGCGTGAATACTCACAGGCTTCATTTTTTTTCTTTATTAGGACCGCGTGGCTTTGTTTACACTGTGAGAAATGATTATTTTAATAATTAAACGTTTTATAAGGAACCGCAATTTAAATTCCAATTTGTCGAGCTAGAGCATACTTCCACGTCCTTGCAATTAGGTACAGTTTTCAGGTATGGAAAATGCTAATTCCAATACTATTATGTTATTTTCACGTAATCAATAATTGGAATTGGATAAATCCATCTGGCTCTGCTGAGGTTTGAAAACTTGTTTGTTGCATTTCTTAAAATTGGTCTGCTACTGCTCTTTCATTGTTGGAATGGATGTGAGAGAAAGAGACTCCTGCAGCAGTCTTTTGTGTCATTGGTTGCTCTCTTTGCCTTAACACAAAAGAACTAAAAAGTAACTTATGTCACACACAGTTTAATGCGATACTTATAAACAGCTCTCTTAGATTTCACATACTGTATGACTGAGATGATTGATGTCGAATTTTTTTTACAAAGCTTGCATCTGTGACAGCTCTCCAAGATGTTTGGTTGTGAATCAAACCCAACTTCACTTTGTTAGTTCCTTTTTATTCTTAAACTGCCTTACTGAGTCAATGTTGAACTTTTTAAACTGGGCTTGCACCCATCACAGCTCTTCAAGGTGTTCCATTTTGAATGAAAACCCAATGTCAATTATCTAGATCTCTTGTATTCCTTAACCACCTTCTACCTTGAATTTAAGTACTAGGGTGTCTACTTGGTTACTTTATTAGGGGTCAAAGCTTAGGATGGAGTTAACTGGTCAGTAGTTTATTACCACTATGCCTAGAAAATTACCCTACAAACATGAATTCCTTATTAACTTTATTGCCTTCTTTCCTGACAGGAAGTACTATTTACAAAGAATCCTCAACGTTGAACAGAATCCTGATCCTAAGCTGGGAAGTCGTTTCCTGCTTGAGCTTGAATTGGGTGTCAGTGGATCAGGTGAAAGCTTCCGTCTCTCTGAATATGTGTATCTTCCTCTTGAGAAAGAGGAGCTTTGTTTCCCTGAAGGAGTAGAGTGGAATAGCAATGCAACAGTATACTTTATTCTGCCTGTTAAAAACCAGGGCATGTGGGTCCATCACTTTGTTTCTCAACTTGCTGCTGTGTCAAATCAGAGTGGTGATTACAACTTTCATGTTATTGTTGTGGATTTTTCAAGCGATGACATTGATTTTGATGAAGTGTTTAGTGTGTGGCCACTTCAAAACCGGTATACTCTGATCAAGTTGACTGGGCCATTCCACAAGACATTAGGGTTACAGAGGGCTGTCAGTGCTGTACCAAATGATGATGACATAGTCTTTCTTTTTGATCTTCATATTGATGTTCCTTTTGGACTGCTGGATAGTGTAAGAAAGGTGAGAAGGACTTAATCATCTACAAGATAACATCAGTATTTAAATTCTCCATACTGTTTTTCATATATTTCTTAAGGTGCTGACAAGGAGAATTTGTGAAAGTGTAGTGTGATCTTCCGTGTGAGTGTAGTCCTGAGAAGGGCTGTTGTCAGTGGCGGTGACTGACGTTTCAACAACCTGTGTGGAAGTCATCATCAGAGTCACTTGACTCTTAGATGATGACTTCTGCGCAGGTTGTTGAAACATCAGTCACCACCATCTACAACAGCCCTTCTCAGGACTACACTCACCCAGTCGATCACACTACACTTTCTCATGTTACCCCTTGGTTCAAACTATTACTGCAAGGAGAATTTGTTTACGAATCAAGAGCTAGCTACCTTCAGATGGTGATCATTTTCTTTATTCTGGTGACGTTAATGTGTGATTCAGGAGTGATATTGCAGGAAGAAATTATATACAGTCACTCTTAAGGACTATAGGGTTGATTGGCCTTTCTCCTAATACTTTTGAGGGACAGATAGGGACAGCTGGTAGTGTTACTTTCTAACTTTGTGTGGTGGGGAAATATAGGGATCATTCTGTTTGTGCATCAAAATGTTATCCCAAAACAAGATAGCAGTCAATCTCTTTTGCCTTTGAGAATATTCACAGCCACTGTCTTAAAATGAGTTGAGGCAACTTCAGCTAGAAACATTACAAATGAGGCAGTTTGTTAAAGAGACTAGCGACAGCTAGTCTCTCTTGTGTACCAGCCTGAATGTTTAACACAGTTATATATGATCGAGTCTGGTTCTAAAGTTCTGGGTTCGTGTTAAAAAATTAAAATTTTGTATACCAGGTAGGTCTCCACATTTGAAATCATGCATAAGGTAGTGACCCTGGGCTCGGAAAATCACTAATACTCTAAATACCGAGAAGTTCCATGTTGGTCACTTTTGGAATATGAATGATGAAATCATTCAGAAATTGCTTGTTTTTATTTTGTTGCATGTGCAGCACACTATATTTGGCAAGGT